ATCCTCGGCTACACGGAGGACGAAGTCGTGTCGCAGGACTTTGTCTCGGACAAGCGCTCGTCCATCTTTGACGCCAACGCGTGCATCGCGCTCAACGACAACTTTGTCAAGCTCGTGTCGTGGTACGACAACGAGTGGGGCTACTCGAACCGCCTCGTCGACCTCGTCTTGCACATGGCCACCGTCGACAACTAAATAGCTAGTGTCTCCGTCTTGTAACTCAAGATTGTCTTTTGTTTTTGGAATTGCGAGTTGATACTAGGCGTGTTTGGACCAGTGCCCTCGACTAGATGTATAATAGCATGGACTTGCAGTTCAAAGGTGCCCGGCCTGCTGCACCACACACACTGTGCAATGCCTCAATGGCGAGACCTTCCAATGCTCAGGTTGGCACGTTATCGCGTTGATCATGCCACCGAGTACGACACGGAACTTGGCTGATGGTGTCGTCCACACTCTCAAGACAGCCAGGTTGTTGTGGCAGTTGTGCTGCAAACAGAAAGCTGGAAGATCCACGCACGAGCGTAGTTTGCAACGACCGCCAGAGCTTGTCAGGGATTGAGAGTCCAGCTGCAAGCAGCGGAAGTCGGACCTCGGCTGTCGCGTGAATGGTGGTGCTCGGCTGTCGCGTGAATGGTGGTGCTCGCCCCCGCGGTGGCTTGACGCATTTCGTCTGTGGCATTTTGCGCTCCCGTTGCCCGACTTGCTGTTGCGCTCGCCGAGTTCTATGTAGACATATGCAAAGTGCAATGTGGGGTTGTTGCTGTGTATCCAGTGCAGTCTCGGGTACATGTTTGCGTGTGGTTGTGCCCTGAGAATTCTCGACCATCGACCCCTCGACGCCGACGGTATACTAGCGACTGCGAGGACGCGTGCCGCTGCCAGTATACTCCGCCCGAGAGAGCGACCACGGACACAACCCTAGCCCGCATCAGGTGCTTTCTTCCCCCAAGTTGCAGCGCACACACTGCGGGGGTTGCGATCGGTGGTGACGCACCCACGTAGTTACAACCCGACACGTCGATGCGGCAACCGATCGTGTCATTTCCAAATTTGCTCGCTTCTTCATGGCTGCGCTCCAAGTGCTTTCGTCGCCCGAGCTCCTGCGGTTAACGAGCCACTTTCAGCACGGCGTGCCACTCTCCCTGCGCCGGCTTCTTCGCACTGTTGGCCATATCCAGCTCTTCTTTGACACGACACATAAATCTTCATCGCGCCGCCCAGCGTTGTACTACACAAAGCTCCCCAACGCGCTCCTCACTCGCATGGGTGGCACGAAGTCGGACGCACTGCCGGCACGGGCCCTGCGCCTGCCCAACCACCGCGTGAGTCCCCTCCAGTTGGCGCTGCACGTGTCGATTGCGCTCAGCCAGCGCGTCGACGTCACCGCGCTCGCAACGTACGCGCCACAGTGCCTCGGGCCCGACACGCTTGCCCTCGCGGTTGCGATGGACGACCACGCGACTGTCGAGCTTCTCGCGCCGCTTGTTTCGGACGCTGCGATGGCCATGAACCTCGCTGCCGCGCGGGGAAGTCTCCCGCTTCTGACGTGGCTGCACCAGCACGGAGCCAGCTGCACGCGGGCGGCCATGGACGGCGCCGCCGCGAACGGCCATCTGGACATTGTGTCGTTTCTCCATCATCACCGCAGTGAGGGCTGTTCAACGAGTGCCCTCAGCGCAGCGGTCGCCAACGGCCACATTGACGTCGTGCGGTTCCTCGTTGCGCACCGAAGCGAGGGCTTGAACCGAACCCTGTGGTTTGAGATGCCCGCAGAGACCTCGGCGCGCGTCGGCACGGGGCACTTGGAAGCGGTCCAGTGCGTCGTCGACGCTGGCTGGACAAGTTTGGCAGAGCAAGGCCTGGAGACGATGACACGTCAGTATGGCCTGCCCGCGCTGCGTCTCTTCCTCGCCCTCGGCATCCAACGTGTGACCAAGCGAACGCTCGAGATGGCCGTCGACATGCGGGACCGCGACCTCTTGCTGTTTGTCGTGTCTTCGCTTGTAGCCGAGAGCCACAAGACGTGGAACGAAGACGGTACGTGGACGCCGCCATCCGCTCTCGACGACGATCTGGGCGTGTCGCTGTGGGAACTCTTCCTCGCTAGCTGGCACCGCTGCGTGGCTATGGACATTGCAGCGATGCACGGCGACCTTATGACGATGGAAATGCTCCATCGGCTGCGGCTCAAGAGTGCGTCGCCCAAGGCCCTCGAGTATGCGTGCTGCTACGGCCACCTCGATGCGGCGAAATGGCTGGTCGCACACGGCTATGACGGCGCACGAGACAACGCGATAGCGCTTGCTGCGGCCAACAGTCATGTGGACACTGTGGCCTGGCTCCACGAGGAATGCATCCAGCCGATCACCGCCACGGCCATGAGCACCGCAGCGGCCAACGGGCACATGTCGGTGGTATCGTACATGCTGACGCGGCCGCTGCCAACGTTCACGGACGACTGTGTCACGCTGACGACGACGGTGCTATCCGTCCGAGCACAAGACTTTGTGATGACGCACGGCTTTCCTGGGGATGCCGCGCTGCAAAATGGACACTGGGACATTGTCGAGCTCTTGCAGCATGCCGAGCCAACATAATGGCAGAGTGATTTCACAAACAGCAAACCCTAATTTACAAACGCGTCAACGCGATTTGAAATGCATGTACTGCTGCGCGAGACGGTGGACGGGTATCAAGGTATCAGTCGCAGAATACGTGGCGAGCGTTCGCCAGCTTGAACCGATTGAAGAAATGACCTGTGGAACAGGCTCGTTGAACGCTAATTTCTTGTCTTACTAAACGAGAGAGAAGTGCTATTTAACTTGTGATGGAGGACTACTAGTATATTAGATTTACTTGATGAGGGGCAGTGTGTGTTGATAGTGTTGCAAGACGTTTGCACCGTCCTTGATGACGCGTGCGACTTCATCGTCCGTGAGCACAAGCAGTCGCCACGTCTTGATGTCGAAAATGTACCGCACGTTTCGGTAGCGCAGCACGAGGAGGCCCGATAGCGCTGCCGATGCATAGTCGAGACAGTAGATGCCGTGGACGACCCAGCCCTCTTTCTCAAAGAGGTACTTGGCGCCTGACGACAGCAAGTACGAGTCCTTCTCGAGAGGCAAAGGAAGACGACATCGCGCGCGGTCCAACGCAAACATGGCGGTCGAGACACCGACGGCAATGACCGACAGCGTCACGAGACGCGTCCGTGACCCAATGGTGACGACGCCGCTGTGGCATTGCATTGTAAAGTCCAGCGCGACAAAGACACAGACGCGGTCGATCGTGACGCTGTGCGCTATCGGTGACAAGACGCTCAGCAAAATGGCCAAAAGCATGCACAGCAGCGCCGCCTTGATCGTGTAGCTGGCCGTGTACTGACGCGTGATAACCATTGCAACGTCATTGAAAATGTATACGAGCCAGCCGAGCTCGCTCGCGGCAAGGACGCTGGTGAGAAAGGCTATCGGCGCTGCGACGTCGCTGCGGGACGTGGCGAGAATGGTCGCGTCACCACGGGACACGAGCTCCAGCGTCGCTGTCGACAGAATGCAAAGCGCCGAGATGCTTCGAACAAGCAAAAGCGGGCGCCCGATCCAGACCATGCCTCCGACGCGGTTGATTTCAAGCAGGTTCCAGCCTTCACCCGAACCCATGGTCGAGACCGTGTAGAAGCTGATCACGATGGCCAAGACGACGAGGACGACAGAAATGTACTGACAAAAACCTCGTACATAGGTGGCGGTGTTCAGAGGCAGTTCGATCGCACTGGCGGAAAACGTGGCCGGCTTCGACTGCGCGGTGAGGATCGCTAGCGAAGCCACGTCACCAGTAACGACAAGGGCTTCACGGATCCCAACAGCCCAGTCGTGTGCGAGCGCCCAGCTCATGTAGTGCATGTCGAGCGATGCAAACAGCGGTTCGAAAAACAGCGAGAGCGCGTGGGTTGGCACGTGCTGGGCATACTGCATGATACCAACACCGAGCGAGACAACGTCGCGCTCGACCGTTTTGGCGCGGTCTCGAAACGTGGATGGAAGGTACGTGGACGTGAATGCATGGACACTGCGGAGACTCGCTTGGCACTCGACCGGCGCAATCACCTCGGGGGCACATGCCATGGGAATGGTGTCGGTCTCGAGGCCCGACGAGAGCACTGCAAAGACGGCTTGGGCGACCGAGACAAAGATCCACTCGTTGAACGCCGTGTTGCACGTGGCGTGGACGCCTGTAAACTGCGACATGCCATTTGTCAAGTTGAAGTTGAACGCAAGGTCGTTGCAAAAGAGGTTGCCACCAGCACAGCGATAGAGTGTCCGGTCGAGTGACAAGGGCACGGGACTGAGCGAATTGAGCAGCACGAGCGTTGTGTAGCTCTCTTGCGCGGGAAACGCAGCAGACATGCTGTCGGGGGTTGTGAGCGCTATGGCCAGCGCCTCGCCAATATCGCGCTGCAGCGTTAAGAGGGACTGCGGCGGTGCGATGTGATAGAGATCGACACTGCCAAATGGCCCGATACAGGATTCAAAGACAACATACGCAGCACTTAACGGCGCTTGCAAGACCGAGCCGTTCTGCGTATACACTGCAGTGGCCGAGAGGTTCTGGAATGCAAACCGAGGACTCGACCGCAAGAGCGAGAAGCCAACTAGCCCACTGCTGTTGTCATTGACGGCATACAGGTCACTTGCAAACGACCAGTACATCTTGCGTGATGTCGCAGCGGCGAGGCGACTTGTCGCTCGCGTCGACTGCAGCGTTAGGTCATAGAAAAGGCCAAATGCGTTCTCGACCGAGAAGACGTCCGTGAGCCCGAGATCCTTGTAGTTTTGCCACTGGGGCAAGTAGAAAGCGAGGTCGTAGCCTTTTGTCCAGAGATCAACTTCGCTCGGGACCGACCGATCGTTTGACAATGGTAGGGAAGTTAACCAGCGGTGGCCGTCAGGAAGCAGCGAGACAGCGTCGACAGCAATGCCTCTCTCAAACGACGGGCCCCAGCACGATAGAAAGCGGTCCCACTGCACATTGCGCAAGAGAGCTTCGAGGTACACGGCGGCATTTCTCGGGTGCTTCACAGCGCAGCGCGCTTGACGGGCAGATGTCATGGCCATTTCAACATGCCTGTCCAAGTCCAGCCAGCAGTAGGCAGTTGCAATCCATGGTGCGTCGCAAGCGTCCAATGACCGAAGTCCTTGGATCACGAGGGGTAGGGTCTCGCCGGTTTCGTATTGGACGCGATGGGCGTAGAGCGGCGAAAAGGCGACGAGGGGCATGCTAGTTGACGCATACGACGTCATGTCGGCGAATGCCATCGTGTCCAAGCGCATTTGTGACAGCGCTGGCGTCACCTGCACGTTTCGGTTGAACCAATTAGCAATAAACGTGTGCGTGCCCGTTGTGTTGAAGGTCGCCCACCAGAAATCGTTGGCGAGGTTCACAGACGAGAGCCGGAGGTACGAGAGGCTGCTGCCCGCCGTCCCGACAACGTACACAAGTCCCACAATCACCATGAGTTTCGACCGCAGCAGGCTTCCTCTCTTGACAACAACAGGCGACAGAGCGTTCAAATCGACGTGCGGGGGGCACACCACAGGAAGTGGGGGGCCCACATCGGACGGCGCCACAAAGACAACCCAAAGTTTGATATCGAATACAATATGCGTCGTCCCAAGACGCAGGCGCACAAGCCCACTCGTGCACGCGGTCACCGCATCGATACTCCAAATGTCTCCGACAGGCGCGAGAAGCGCCGCGGCCGCCGCAGCGAGAGGCCACGCAACGTCCACAGGAGGTTGCGCGATTACACGGCTACGATGATTGCTGACGACCCGCGCAAGACCGTTGCAAGTCACAACGGTACCGACGGTGATGGCGGCGATGAGCCACGCGCGGGTAGCGGACCCGATCACGACGTTGCCCCCGGAACAAGATAGCTGTGCATTCACGTTGACGCGCGAACACTCCCGGTGTAGCGTCGCAGTCATACGAATCGGCGACAAAACCTCGAAAAGTACGATGGCAGTCCACACCAGCCCCGTACTCAGAGGCCCTGACCAAGTTGGCGCGGACGGCAGCACGAGTAGGACGTCCGACACGACGATGGTGCCCCACGCCGCCTCGCCAGCGAGCACGATAACAGTCCAAAGGTCTCGCGGTGCAAACTCAAATCGTCCGAGCGGTTGCGATTCAAATCGGATGCATGCGGTGCTAAGAACGGTGGTGGCCGCGGCGGCACGGAGCAGAAGAATTGGCCGCCCAAGCCAGACAGGCCCCGCAACGCGGTAGAGATGCCGCAATGCAAGGACGTTAGTGTGCTCGTCACTGCAGGCAAAATACAGTAGCGTCAAGAGCGTCACAAACAGCAGCCAGCTCGTGGTGGCCAAGACGACGTAGTGCAAGTACGTAGCGGTGGGCGTTGGGACTTCGAGAGCACTTGCTGCAAACGGCTGTGGCTCGACGCGCTCGGAAAGCAGCGTCAACGCGCGCACGTCCCCTTGGAACGAGACGACTTCTCGGAAGCCGAGTGCCCACTCGTGCAGCATGACCCAACCAAAGAACGTCCAGTCTCTATCCAAAAGGTAATTGCGCGAGACAGACGTGGCGCCATTCGTGTCGATAGCAAACTGGATGATTTCGACTTGGAGCAAAGCGACTGCGTCTGTTGCTGCCTGTACACGCGAGTAAAAGTCGGTCGTCGCTACCGTTTCGGTCAACACGGCTATACCCACGTTGCTTGCTGCATGCGCTGCGACTGTACAGAGCGTGGTCGTGGCCATGCTGCACGGACGACAGATGGCAACGTCCTCCTCGTTGCTTGCCAAAATCGCAGCGGCAAAGACCGTGGGGGGCACGGTTAGCGCCAAGCGACTGGGCACTTCGGCGCCGCACGTGTCGTCAAATGAAAACGACGGCTGCACAAATGGTGTGCCGAGACCATAGGCACACAGCGGACTCCCCCCGAGAAAGCGTAACGTTGTAGTAGACGGTGACCACGCGACTGGAATAGGGTCCAGTAGCGGTACTGGCACGGCCCTGTAGGCGTCGAGAAGACTTCGGTTCGTTTGCAGCGCACGGGCAACGAGCGCGTCGAAGCTAGTGACAGCGTTCACAAGAGCGGTAGGCGGCGGAATCAAGAAGAGGTCCACGGACTGGAACGGCCCGAGTTCGTTGTGCAACACAAGACTCGCGGGCGTATATGGGTACACAAACAAAAGAGACTCGATCGTAGCGTCCCCAATGTAGTCGGATGCACCGCGGAGAAGACTGCTGTTGGTGATGGCGGCAGCCCAAAGATCGTCAAAGAACGCCCAGTTGAGTGCAAACGAGGTCCACATCGAGCTTCTTGGCGCGTACGCGATCGCAGCAGTTGTCAACGCTTGCGCCCACCCGAGCATGTTGACAACGCCAATCGATTCGTGGATGCCAATCTCGTCCATGTTGCTCCACTGCAGCTCGTACCTGGAAATGTGCTTGGATCTCCAGTACGCAACCTCGTCGTCAGTGGACGTGAACGCATTCTCGAGGCTCGCGAGCCACGCTTCGCCGCCCGCTGACGCACGAATACCGTCGCCGACGGCTGCGTCAAAGCTCGCACCGTACAGCGCCGCCCACGGAGCCCACGCCACGTTGCGCAACACCGACTCGAGGTACACGGCGCCATTGGCGTGCATAAATGCAGCGCACCGGGCTTGGCGCGCCGCCGTATGTGCCAGCGCCCAGCGCCGGTCAAAGTCGGCCCAGCAGTAGAGCGTCACAAGTGAAAACGCGTAGCTCGGGTCAAGCGACCGGAAGCCCACGACCGCGTCTTCTACCGACGTGTAGGCGCCGAGCGCGAGCGACCGAGCGTACGTCGACTGAACAGAACCCACGGTCGTCGGCGTACCGTAGACCTTGAGGATCCCTTCGCGCGCATCCAAGAGGTCGAGGGAGGAAGCGGCACTGGCGGATGTTGTCAAGTGCCGCCGGTAGACGTCGAGCAGATACGTCTGCGCCGTCGACGGGCCAAACCCGGGCCAAAAGAGGTCGTTCTGCAAGCTCGGCGTCACGAGGTCCACAAACCAGACACTGCAGTACATGGCCACGAGCACATGAACAACGCCAAGCGCCTGCATGAGCTGGTACTGGTGGACCATCGATGTCGCTTCGGTCAAAACCGCTAGTGTGCAGGAGGCGTTTCGCTTGGAATGCTATCCTTTTGGTCTAACTCAATACGGCGTATCACGTCCATCTCCGGTACAATGTGCGAGCTTCACTAGCCTTCGACGTGCCCCGTAGCCCAAACCAACGGTGCCCTTGCCGTAACATACGAGCAATGACGTGGCAACTCCCTGACGACATCACGTAGTTCGGTGCCAAAACGAGTTGTTGTATATTTAAAGAAGAATAATAAAGAGAGTGCGAGCGTGCGCTTCCGCCCGCGGTCAATAGATATGGCGGTAGTGGGATGGGAGACTGGTGGTCGATGGGTGTGCGCGCCGAGACCGTACTGCGATCGTACGCGGCTGCGAAGGCGTGTGGCTTCTTACTGCTGGTCGACACTGGCCATGTGCAAGACGAGGTCGACGAGGCGGTTCGAGTAGCCCCACTCGTTGTCGTACCACGACACGAGCTTGACAAAGTTGTCGTTGAGCGCGATGCACGCGTTGGCGTCAAAGATGGACGAGCGCTTGTCCGAGACAAAGTCCTGCGACACGACTTCGTCCTCCGTGTAGCCGAGGATGCCGGCCATGGAGCCTTCGGACGCTTCCTTGACGGCCGCCTTGATGGCCGCCAGGGACGCGCCGCGTTCGAGACGCACCGTGAGATCGACGACCGAGACGTCGGGCACCGGCACGCGGAACGCCATGCCCGTGAGCTTGCCGTTGAGTTCCGGCAGCACCTTGCCGACGGCCTTGGCCGCGCCCGTCGACGCCGGGATCACGTTGGCACCGGCGCCGCGACCAGCGCGCCAGTCCTTGCCGCCGCGCGACGGACCGTCGACCGTGAGCTGGTTGGCCGTCACGGCGTGCACCGTCGTCATCAAGCCTTCAACGATGCCAAAGTTGTCGTGGATGACCTTGGCGAGCGGCGCGAGGCAGTTGGTCGTGCACGAGGCGTTCGACACGACGTGCGCCGAGCCGTCGTACTTGTCGTGGTTGACACCCATGACGTACATGGGCGTGCCGTCCTTCGGGGGCGCCGAGATGACCACCTTCTTGCAGCCGCCGCCAATGTGCTGGCCAGCAGCTTCGGTCGTCGTGAACACGCCGGTCGACTCACAGACATAGTCGGCGCCGGCCTCGCCCCACGGGATCTGCGCCGGGTTGCGCTCCGCAAAGACGCGGACGACATGGCCGTCAATGACGAGGTTGTTGCCCTCGACGACGACCGTGCCCTTGTAGCCGCCGTGCGTCGAGTCGTACTTGAAGAGGTAGGCCATGTACTCGAGGTCCATGAACGGGTCGTTGATGGCGACGACCGTCGCGTTGGGGTTGGCAAAGGCGGCGCGGCAGACGAGGCGACCGATGCGGCCAAAGCCGTTGATACCGAGTTGGACTTGCGCCATTGTGGAAGAGGTGGGTGGGGTTGGTGGAGAGTTGGGAAATGAAACAGAACCGGTCGACTTGGTGCGCATTCATTGACACAAGATCTGGCATCCATGATGTGCCAGAGACACGTCGCGGCTGCGCTCGCCTCGGCAGCTGGTGGACCTCGGCTGCGCGTCGGTTTTTTGGCAGACGTCGACGCGCCTGTCCAAATGACGTGGCAACGCCGTTGACGAGGCCGTTTCGCCTTTCTGATGCAGTCCTTCTACTTGTATGGCTCCGAGTACACAGTACAATGTATCCACGACGTGGAACGTTCTATCTCATCGGCGTCAACGGAACTGCAACAAGCACCGCTTCTCCATCTCCCTCCAAGATCTTGGTTGCGATCAAGATCTGAGTTGTGCTCTCGTAGGTACTAGTATGCAATAAGAAACTAAGATCTTGGTCGCCAGAATGAAGAAACCACGAGCAGGGTCGATGTGACCCTTCTAGTCAGTCAAAGGAAATCCCCTCGGTCGCTTCTATACGCAAATCATGGCAATGAAGCAGGGCACACGGACGCGACGCTACAGTGGGACCGTCATGTCGGCCGGTATCCGAGACACCCCACATGTATCTGCTTCGAACACGACGTGGGGCCATGATCTTGCCAGCCTTCGT